TCAACCTCCCAAAGTGCTGGGATTATAGGCGTGAGCCACCGTGCCTGTGGCTGAACTATTTAATAAATGATGAAGTATTGAATTAAAACCCCTTCAGTTGGCACCCCTCTCATGCGGCCCTTGCCTGTCTGGTTCCATCTCCCCCGCCCCATCTATCACTTTATATTGTAGCACAACTGGGCTACTCGAAGTGCTTTCAACATGATTCATTCTGTCACGTCTTGGAGCCTCCTTTGCAATATCCCTCTCTCTGGAAAGCTGCCTTGTTTCTCCCTGGTTATTCTTCACCCCTTATTTAGTGTTCAGGTGTCTTTACAAGCGTCCCTGACTCTCTGAGGCTGACTTAGGCCCTTGCATTTCCTGTTTGTTTTTTTGAGACGAAGTCTCACTCTGTCCCCCAGGCTGGAGTGCAGTGCTTTGATCGTGACTCACTGCAAACTCCACCTCTCAGGTTCAAGTGATTCTTCTGCCTCAGCCTCCCAAGTAGCTGGGATTACAGGTATGCACCACCATGCCCAACTAATTTTTGTATTTTTAGTAGAGACAGGGTTTCGCCGCCATGTTGGCCAGGCTAAACTCGAACTCAAGACCCCAAATGATCTGCCCATCTCAGCCTTCCAAAGTGTTGGGATTACATGCATGAACCACTGCACCTGGCCTGATATGGTTTTTTAAACAAGATACAAAAAAATGATAAACATAGAAAAAGATTGATAACATCAACTCTATTAAGTTTTTTTAATTGCACTTAGCAAAAAGACTCAACAAAAAACACAAATCACAATCTGACAGAAGATACTTTTGACACACTCACCTGTCACAGGAATGTGTTTTAAATATTTCTACACATCAGTAAGAAAAAGGCAGTTCGGGGGAGTGGCCAACGGCTTGCGGAGCAACATGCCCAAGTTTTATTGTGACTACTGCGATATATACCTCACCCATGACTCTCCATCTGTGAGAAAGACACACTGCAGTGGTAGGAAACACAAAGAGAATGTGAAAGACTATTATCAGAAATGGATGGAAGAGCAGGCTCAGAGCCTGATAGACAAAACAACGGGTCCTCCTCTCCCTGGTATGATGCCAGCACCCCATATGGGGGGCCCTCCCATGATGCCAATGATGGGCCTTCCTCCTCCTGGGATGATGCCAGTGGGACCTGCTCCTGGAATGAGGCCACCTATGGGAGGCCATATGCCAATGATGCCTGGGCCCCCAATGATGAGACCTCCTGCCCGTCCCATGATGGTGCCCACTCGGCCTGGAATGACTCGACCAGACAGATAAGGATAGAGGGGAGGCCTCATTCTATCAGTTTTATATTACCTGTTCTGCTTCACCAGGAGATCATGCTGCTGTGATGCTGGGTTTTCTAAACAGCATAAGGAAGACTTGCTCCCCTGTCTGATCAAAGAGAATAGTTTTGGAGGGGAGAGGTGGGGCAAAAAAGATGCAATTTTCATTTGTATTGGGAAATGTGAAAATAAAATTGTCAACTCTTTTAGTTAAATAAAAAAAAAAAAAAAAGAAAAAGGCAGTTCGGGCGCGTTAGCTTGTACCTATAATCCCAGCACTTTGGGAAACTGAGGGAGGCTCACTTGAGCCAGGAGCTTGACAACAGCCTGGTCAAGAAGGTGAGACCTCACTCTACAAAAAAAAAAATCAAAACAAAATTAGCTGGGTGTGGTAGTGAGGGCCTGTAGTCCCAGCTACTCGAGAGGCTGGAGAGGCTCAGGTGGGAGGACTATTTGAGCCTGCAAAGTCGAGGCTGCAGCCAGCCGTGTTCCTGCCACTGCACCCTAGCCTGGCCAACAGAGCAAGACCCTGTCTCTAAAAAATGAATAAACAAATAAATAAGAAAAAGACATACACCCCAACTGACAAAAGGGCAAACATTTGAACAGAGTTCATGAAGGTGAATACATGGCCAATAAATGTATTAAACATATTTAGAAGATGCTCAATTGTATTACTAGTCAGGAAAATGTGAATTCAGACTATAGTGAAATATCACGTTAAACCCCTTAAGATAAGAAATTTAAGTTAGACAACAATAGCAAATGTTAAGAGTGGAGTTGGAGCATAGAGACTCTATATACGGCTGCCTGAAGTATAAATGAGCGTTCAACCACATCGGAAACTATTTGGCATTCTTTCAAAGCTAAGTGTTCACAAATCTATAGCCAAGCAATCTCATTCCTAAGTACAAACCTGAGAAACACATGCATTTATGAACATAAGGAAAGACTACAAGAATATTCAAGGCAGCCACGTCCTTAACAGCAAACAACTCGAAATGACCCAACATCCATCAACAAAAGTGGTGATAAATAATTGTGGTATATTCACACAATAGACTGGAAAATGGACACAGCAGGGAACTTGGAAGCATTACATTTAGTGAAAATAGGAAGTCTCAGAAGACCACATAGAGTATCATAACTTTTTTAGAATTCAATAGGTAATAAAAGTAAGCAGTTAGCTGGACGCAGTGGCTCACGCCTGTAATCCCAACACTTTGGGAGGTCATGGACGGTGAATCACCTGAGGTTGGGAGTTTGAGACCTGTCTGGCCAACATGGAGAAACATCATCTCTACTAAAAATATAAAATTATCTGGGCATGGTGGTGGGCACTTGTAATCCCAGCTACTCTGAGGCTGAGGCAGAAGAATGGCTTGAACCCAGGAGGCGGAGACTGCTGTGAGCCGAGATCACGCCACTGCACTCCAGCCAGGCAACAAGAGCTAAACTCCATCTCAAAAAGAAAGTAAGCAACCAACTACACGTGTGTTTGTGTTGTCTCTGTGATAAAAGTGCATTTGTTAAGATTTCAAGATAATGGCTACCTCTAGTGGGCAAACTGGGATGTGAGACAAGGAATGTAAGTAACTGCAGGTAAATGCATGTTATCGGCAATGGTCTAGATCTTGATTTGAGAGGGTGGATCACAGGGATTCAGTATGTTATGATTTTTTAAAATAACAAATACATATGTTATCAAGAAAAAGAGAGAAACTAAACAAATAGATGAAAAAGAAATATAAGGCCAGGCACGGTGGCTCACACCTGTAATCCCAACACTTTGGGAGGTCGAGTCGGGTGAATCATCTAAGGTTGGGAGTTCGAGACAAGCCTGACCAATATGGAGGAACCCCGTCTCTACTAAAAATACAAAAAATTAGCTGGCGTGATAGTGCATGCCTGTAATCCCAGCTACTTGGAAGGCTGAGGCAGGAGAATTGCTTGAACCCATGAGGCAGAGGTTGCAGTGAACTGAGATTGTGCCGTTGCTCTCTAGCCTGAGCAACAGAGCGAAACTCTGACTCAAAAAAAAAAGAGAGAGAGAGAGAGAGAACTACTAATATAGTAGAAGTCTTAGGAAAGAGAATATCATTTATGCCAATGGTTTTGAAATTTAGACAACATGAACTGCCTAGAGAATAGAAGTTATCAAAACTAGTTTAAGAAGAAATAGAAAATTTAGTAGTATAATAAATAAATAGAATAAGTAGTCCTGGCTGGGCATGGTGGCTCATGCCTGTAATCCAAACACTTTGGGAGACCGAGGCAGTTGAGCTCAGGAGTTTAAAAAACACTTGAGCTCAGGAGCTTAAAACCAGACTAGACAATATGGTAAAACCCTGTCTCTACAAAAAATACAAAAATTAGCCAGGCATGGTAATGCACACTTGTTGTCCCAGATATTTAGGAGGCTGAGATGGGAGGATCACTTGAGTAAAGCAGGCTGAGATATTGTACCACTGCACTCCAGCCTGGGCAACAGCGAGAATCTCACTAAAAAAGTAAATAAAAAATAGGCAGGGACTTCATGACTAAAACACCAAAAGCATTGGCAACAAAAGCCAAAATAGACAAATGGGATCTAATTAAACTCCAGAGCTTCTGCACAGCAAAAGAAACAATCATTAGAGTGAACCGGCAATCAACAGAATGGGAAAACATTTTTGCAATCTACCCATCTGACAAAGGGCTGATATCCAGAATCTACAAAGAACTAAAACAGATTTACAAGAAAAAAAAAACAAACAAACCCATTCAAAAGTGGGCGAAGGATATGAACAGACACTTTTCAAAAGAAGACATATGTGAGGCCAAAAAACATATGAAAAAATGCTCATGTTCACTGGTCATTAGAGAAATGCAAATCAAAACTACATTGAGATACCATCTCATGCCTATTAGAACGGTGATAGTTAAAAAATCTGGAGACAACAGATACTGGAGAGGATGTGGAGAAATAGGAACACTTTTACACTGTTGGTGGGAGTGTAAATTAGTTCAACCATTGTGAAGACAGTGTGACGATTCCTCAAGGACCTAGAAGTAGTAATTCCATTTGACCCAGCAATCCCGTTACTGGGTAATATCCAAAGGACATTTCTGTGGTGTGCCATTGACCTATCCCTGTGCCCAACACAGGGTCTTAATCATCTCTCTCTCTCTCTCTCTCTGTAACTATCATAACCATTTTCAGGTGTTCTGTAAGGTTAACTGTATTAATATTGTCGTATAACAGATCTTTAGAACTTTTTAATCTTGCAAAACTGAAACTCTATGTTCATTGAACAACTCACATTTTCCCCTCTCTTCAGCCCCTGGTTACCATCACTCCACTTCCACTTTATGAATTTGACAACATTAAATTCTTCATATAAGTGGAATCATAGTATTTGTCTTTTCCTGCCAGCCGTGGTAGCTCACGCCTGCAATCCCAGCACTTTGGGAGGCTGAGGCAGGTAGATTGCTGGAGCCCAGGAGTTTGAGACCACCATTGGGCAACGTAGCGAGACCTCATCTTTATAAAAAAAATCTTTTACAAACTAGCTGGGTGTGGTGGCATGATCCTGTAGTCTCAGCTACTTGGGAGGCTGAGGTGGGAGGATCGCTTGAGCATGGGAGGCAGAGGCTGCAGTGAGCTGAGATCACACCACTGCACTCCAGCCTGGGTGACAGAGTGAGTCTCCATCTCAAAAAAGAGAAAAAAAAAATCCACTTGTAATTGCTGCTCATCGGAGTGTGTGTCCAGGACAACTTGAATCTATGCTCCCGGGTTGGAGTCCTCAAGCTGGGCCCAAATAAACTCTCTATATTAATTGTGCCTCAGCTTCTTTCTTGTAGGTCAGCAAGATTAACTCTCTATCACATACCACACGTAAAATTGGTCAAGTTCTATTAAAGACCTAAATTTGAAAAGAAAAACATTAAAGTTATTTGAAGATAGTGAGATATTGAAGTATCTCACTAGAAGACAAAATGAAGATATTGAAGAATATGTTTATAACTTCGAGGCGGAAACAATTTCTTTTAAAAAAGGTATATATATGGCTGGGCGCAGTGGCTCACACCTGTTATTCCAGAACTTTGGGATGCCAAGGCGGGCGGATCACTTTAGGTCAAAAGTTGGAGACCAGCCTGGCCAACATGGTGAAACTCTGTCTCTACTAAAAAAAAAAGAAAAAATTAGCTGGGCATGGTGGCATACACCTGTAGTCCTAGCTACTCGGGAGGCTGAGGCAGGAGAATCATTTGAACCCAAGCGGCGGAGGTTGCAGTGAGCCAAGATCGTGCCACTGCACTCCAGCCTGGGCGACAGAGCTAGACTCCATATTTATTTATTATTTTATTTTATTTTATTTTATTTTATTTTATTTTATTTTTAGATGGAGTCTCTTTCTGTTGACTCGGCCTCGTGTCACACAGTGACACGCACAGTGGCTTATGCCTGTAATCCCAGCACTTTGGGAGGCCGAGGAGGGCAGATCACAAGGTCAGAAGTTCAGGATCACAAGGCAGGAGAATTGCATGAACCCAGGAGGCGGAGGTTACAGTGAGCCAAGATTGCACCACTCTACTCCAGCCTGGGCAACAGAGTGAGACTTCGGGAGGCCAAGGAGGGCGGACAGCAAAAGCCACAGATTAATGACAACATTTAAAAGAACATATGAAGTAAATTCACCAGTAATGATTCGAATCAATATTGTACTGGAATGGCTAGCCAATGCAAAGGCAAAGCAAAACAAAACAAAAAGAAAAACAAGTTTGGGCACAGTGGCTCACACTTGTAATTCTAGCATTTTGAAAGGCCAAGGTAGGCAGATTGAAGTCAGGGGTTCGAGATCAGCCTGGCCAACATGGTGAAACACAGTCTTTACCAAAAATACAAAAATCAGCCAGGTTTGGTGGCCTATGCCTGTAACCCCAGCTACTCCAGAGGCCAAGTCAGGAGAATTGCTTGAACCTGGGAGGCAGAGGTCGCAAGGAGCAGAGATTGTGCCACTGAACTCCAGCCTGGGCAATAGGCGAGACTCTGTCTCAAAAAAAAAAAATCTAACCTAAGAGCACATCTCAGATAGTTGACAGTATTTTTACTAAAGGAAGTAACATGTATATACTAGTTTCTCAATGAAGTCCCCTCCTCAGGCCGCTCCTCTTCTCCCAGGCCTGTGGTCTTCATCCTTTCTCTTTGCTCCCCTCCCCTCTCTCCTTC